GATAACTTGCTCAAGGGTGGTTCCATTTTAGTTATATGTGTCGTATGTCAAAATAGATATATTTTCATCTGGAGACCAGGTTGGGGACAGCTGGTCATGGAGAAAATCTATTTAATGAGGCCACTAAGAGTTGACAGTGATTTGATGGCTCATAATATTTTAATTTTGCTTTCAGGCTGATAATTTTGATAGATGTCAATACTGCGATATTTTCAAAATAAATCCAAGCCAGCATAAATACATTTTCTTAAAAAAGGTACTGTACATTACTCGTTTCAGATTACTGCAGTCTGAAAGTACAGATTCTGTCTTGTCCCAGGCGAGCAGAATCAGCAGGGGCCGCCAAGCAGTTGTCCCAAAGCAGTGCTTGAAGGCTTCACCCCCTCTGCCCTTTGCGGTTGTCAAATCTTCTCAGAATTGGGTGGACAAAGTAACTTCCAGGAGCAACTCAGCAAGCCAGAACCATAACAAGGAGTCAGAGACACCAAAGCCCGGAAAGGAATCAAGATCTCAGAAGCATACACGGGTAAATAATTTTTCAAGATAATGTATACACTTTCATTTCCAGCTGTTTTTGCTTTGCCTAAAGCAATGTGATAGCTTGATGGTTTTTTTTTTTTTTTGAACCATAAATTCCTGCAAATTTCACCTGGAAATCCTTGAACTATATGTAGAGCAGATATTGCCCATGACAGAATGCAAACATTTAGGACCATTTCATAAATTTGAATCTCAAATGCTTCTTGAGAAAATGTTTTCTCCCTAAATTAGGAATAATAAAGACTGTCGCATAGTGTTTCCCAAACTTGGCAACTTTAACACCTGTGGACTTCAATTCCCAGAAGTCCCCAGTCATGTCTTAAAGTTGCCAAATTAATCTATGTTATAGCTTTAAATAATTAATCAAAAAGATGGTGAACAAAGTCCAGTCAATTATGTTCTTGAATGATCAAAATGAATCTTTTATTCATATGCCTGTGAATCTGTTTTCATCTTCAAGCAAAGGAATCAGTATATTGTTAATTAATTTACCTTAGGCTCACTTTATAGAAGAGGTTTTCTTCTTGGCATTGAAAACACTTTTAGGATGACACTTAAATGTGAATGTGATTGAACAAATGCATGTTTGCAAACTTACAAAAATCCCAAATATGTTTGTCAGTGATACTTTATCAATTGGTGTTTGATTGTAAGTCCTGATTCAGGGTACACTATAATGGTGAACTACCCTAATCCATGGGTCATTGACTTTCAACCTCAATTGGGCTCAGAATTTCCATTGCTATGAAAGGAGATCGTTAAATGAATCATGCCCAATTTTACCACCTTTTGCACAGTTGGTAAGCGAATCACCACAGTTGTTAAACCAATCGTGTGATTAAATAAATTTGGCTTCCCTCATTAACTTTACTTGTCGGAGGCCAGCTGGGAAGGTTGCAGAAATAGTGATCTCATGATTCTGGGACACTGCAACTGTTGTAGATACATGCCAGTTGCCAATGCACAAATTTTGATCATGTGACTTGGGATGTTGTGATTGTCATTAAGTACAAGGACCGCTTGTAAGTCACTTTTTTCCAGTGCCATTTTAACTTGGAATGAGTGCTAAGGGGATGATTGTAAAGTCATGGATTACCTGCATCCTGAAATTGTACTGGTTAATTTTCATTGGCGATTCCCCCCCCCCCGCTCCCGTTGGAAATTGGGCTAATTTTAAGGCTGGGAATGGAAGCAAGCCTTCATCAGGCAAAGCATTCCTAGTCACCCCTTTCTCCAAGCTGGATTTTTCTGGTGACATCATGACACCACCAAAAGGCCTTCACTGGCAAGCTGGCAACTCAAGAAGTTGATCTGCAGCTTTCAACCCAGAGTTTTACTTCTCTAGAATATATTAATGGTTACAGTAATTGGTGCCTTTGATCTGTTGAGACAAAGCCTGATATGCTGGCTCTTGAAATTAAAATAGACCTATTTTTTCTTCCCAAGATGCTGAGGGACGTAGTGATGAGTACTCTTGAGAAGCATGGCATTGCTAGAGACCACAAGTGCTTCACAACATGCAGTCAACGTTTATTTGAAATATCCAAGTGTTACTTAAAGGTACTCAAATGTTCTCTTTCCATGCACAAAATACCAGATGATCAAGCTGTTTTCGATGGGTGGCTTAAAGGGAGAATAAAAATATAATTATGGTTGTATGTCGAGGATTACTTGTACTAATCTTCTGCCTATGGGCGCAACCATTCCACAATGTGGCAATTTTTCTCCGGATGTGGTGCATATCCTCTTGCTGCATATTTAAGTTTGCAAATATGTAACAACATCCTTTCTGATATGACCTTATAGTTGGATATAAACATTTGGGAATTGAACTACATAACAATATAGGAGACTAAATAAGATTCTGATGCAAACAAAAAGTGGTAAGGAAACTTAGTTGACAAGACTAAACTACAATGATAAATGGGTTTTCTTGTTGGTCTGCAAAATTTCTAAATTAAAACATCTATACAGCTATTTACTATTGAAAATGTGACAAGGTTAGGTTACTAATAAGAACGTTATTCTTCCTTGCAATCTTAAAGGTTTTGATTAATAAACCAGTACATTTTGAAAGTAATATATTTCATATTTAGGATTTGAAAACATCTCGAGGTCTGCTGGATGAAATGAAAAAAGCTGCTAACAGCAATGTTCAACAGGTAAGTAACGGTTGTCTGGACTGTGTTACAAGTAATTGCTCCTTAGAATTGGCTTCCATCATTTATCAAAGTTTGGCTTTATGAATTAGGTTAGCTGATGTCAAACTGCCGCATGGTGGTTGAATCTGAAAGAGGGCTGACTCATCCCTTTAATGATGATTTGTGGGATGTATCTGAGTAGTGCTACACAGTCCTCGTTCATTGCTTAGCAGAAGAATTGCTTATTTTAGGGGTTACAGGGTTTTTTTCCTTTAGAAAGGGCACCAATTAGGAAGAGCTATTTCAACATCTATGTTCTCAAACTTTAGGATGCAATATGTCTTAAGTGTTTGTATTTCTATTTTTTAATTACATTTACTGGTGTTTATTTACAGGTCATTGATTGGGTTTTAGAAAAAAACAAGGAGAAGTGACATACACAAGTGCAGCACAGAGAACAACTTAAAATGCCTTGTTGGTAGATGTGTCTAAAGCTTGGCAGTACCTGCCACACGATGCTCTCAAACCTCTGAGATAATGAAATTAAACTTGAAGTTATTTGTGTTGTAAAAAGTTTTTACTAGAATAAAAAGAATTCCTTAAGCCATCTTTCCTGTCTGCATGATTTGAAAGTCACTTAGCTCTGTAAACGTAAATTCTTTATTATATTCAAATGTGCAGAATGCTTGGTTAAATTAGATAATAGTCTGTTTAAATAAACTTAAGTATTGCTTAACAAGTACTTTTTAAAACCAGGCATTTCAACTGTTTTAAAGGTGGGGGACACATACAATTCTAGGAAAATACCATGACTGTCAGAAAAAACTACTTTGAGTTGTTGCAAATTCCAACTCATTCACTTTGCAAGACAATAAAATTATCCAGATTAAAAGATAAGCAACTTTGTCAAGATTTTAGGGAAAAAAGGTAGAATAATTCAAAACACTAAGTATTTAAATTCAGTTCTTTCCCTGAATTGTACTCTACCTCTCATTCCATCTGACTTGTCTTCTGTTCAAATGTTTTGCCATCCTTGAATTTATAGATTCAGATCTTTGCATTCTTTGACCATTCTTAATTCTATAATCTGAAGGCCCCGCTTTAAATGTATGTTTTGATATGAAATGCTGGATGTTCGTAGCAGATTTCATTTTTATGGGTATGAATAAAGATCCCAAGAAGAAAACCAAGATCATGGCATCTGGTCCTCTCAGTTCCTGGCAAATAGATGGGGAAGAAATGGAGGTAGTGACAGATTTTATCTTCCTGGGCTCCAAGATCACCACAGATGGGGACTGCAGCCAAGAAATTAAAAGACGCTTGCTCCTGGGGAGGAAAGCTATGGCAAATCTAGACAGCATACTAAAAAGCAGAGACATCACCCTGCCAACAAAAGTACGTATAGTGAAGGCCATGGTTTTCCCAGTTGCAATGTATGTAAAAGTTGGACCATAAGAAAGACTGAGCGTAAAAGAATTGAGGCCTTTGAACTATGGTGCTGGGGAAGACTCCTGCGAGTCCCCTGGACTGCAAGGCGATCAAACCGGTCAGTCCTAGATGAGATCAACCCTGACTGCTCTTTAGAAGGCCAGATCCTGAAGTTGAAACTCAAGTACTTTGGTCACCTAATGAGAAGGAAGGATTCCCTGGAGAAGAGCCTAATGCTGGGAAAGATGGAAGGCAATAGAAGGGGATGATAGAATGAGGTGGCTGGATGGAGTCACTGAAGCAGTAGGCGTGAGCCTAAATGGACTCCAGAAGATGGTAGAGGACAGGAAGGCCTGGAGGAATGTTGTCTATGGAGTCGCAATGGGTCGGACACGACTTCGCAACTAACAACAACAACAAAGGTCCCAGAAGATTGGAGAGAAATCCACTTGCTAAGTTGATTGCAGCCCATTGTTCTCAAACTTAATACTGTAATACAGTGATTCTCAACCTTTTCTTCACCACGGACTCCTTTAAATACCTTTTGTGGCCATGGACCCCCAAGACTTAACTCAAGATTTAAATCATAACATTTCTTCAGGCCTTTGTAGACCTCTGAAGATATTGAGATCCCCCCCCCAGGGGGCCATGGACCGCAGGTTGAGAACCCATTGTCGTAATATATTTGTGTGAAATGCCATGAAGTTGATACTCCTATCAATGAATTTAACTACTGAACAGTAGTGGTTTAGTAAAAGAACTTACCTCGAATAATTATTCCCATTTTGTGAAATCAGTACTCAGTTTTTTTTACAATTTTTAGTAGGCTGAAACCACTGAGCAAAAATCTATGACTTTTTTTGTCAAATAAATTATCACCTCACAAAAAAATCCAATAAGTGACACTTTATTAAATATAGTTTTTTTTTCTCCCTCTTGAAAATATAAATATTGTAGATTAAATTCTTATAAATCTGGGGTAGTTCCATTTAATTCATTCTGTCAACCCCATCTAAAGTAACCGTATCTAGAGTCGTTCAAAATCTGTATTTGACTATAAATATATATACTTTTGCAAATTAGTTGTTCACTTCTTCATGTTGTGATTTGAGCACCGTACAATACATGATATAACTAATGAATTAATCCTGATTATATACAAAGCAGATATATTATTCTAATGGGGGGGTTAGATATTGAAAGTAGCAGTACAATAGAATTTACATATGCATGAACTTTTCCTAAAATACACAATATTTTACTTTATGCTCTGGCTTTTGCTCATTCACAATAATAAATACTGCCATGGAAGGAACTTGAAAATCCTGCTACACTGGAAAGGGTTATTTGAGATTCCTTATTTTTTTTTTCACAAAATGCCGTTTAAATCACAAATTTTGTACGTCATTCTTTCACTGACAAGACACAAACCAATGGAAATTTCGTATCTGCAAAAATATATTTATTTTAAAGTAGAGAGACCTCTGGATATATATATTTAAAGCTCCAAATGAAATAAAAATGGAAGCTTAGGCACAAACTGGGCATATAGTGAAAATGTAGACTCAAAATCAAGCAGCTTTTTATTAAGTTAATTTTATATTACTAACAAAATGCTACGAAAGAAATTATATGGTAGATATTCCATGACAAATGATTATTTTATAGAACTACCTAGACTTCTGCAGGTGTAAAATCTTAAGTTATGGTTAACAGCCCAACCTTGTTTTGAATATTCTCTAAGATTACCTTAATCGCATTTAAGAATTAACACAGCAGCCTTTATGAATCCTATTTATTCTAATCAAATTATCTGAAACCTAGATTAATTATTTCAGGGAGAATGTAATGCTGCAGAGAATTTTCTTCAAATGCAGTTGAAAGCAAGCACAATTTATATATTTACACTTAGCTTCCATTTTTTTGTATCTTCATACAAAATTGTATTTGTAATCTGTAGTGTGGAAATATTATGGATTCAGGTTGAGAATTCAAGGGCATAACCTCAACTGACCACATATATCTAAGCAACCCTAAAAACATCCTTATTTACTATGGCCCATGAATTAAAAAAAAGACACAACTGAGTTAAATTTGTGCCTCTGGGTATCCATATTGCAAGTAAGCTTTTTTTTATTTTTTGGCCTTTTGATGTAGACATTAAACTTTTTAAGTTTGATGTATCTGACAGTCATTTAGCAGGTTGTTAAGAAGCTAAGCAGGATAGGACTTGGCTTGTACCTGGGGTGGAAAAACCACAAATAAAGCTCTATAGCTGGAGATTAGATTGGGTGAAAGCATTTGATAAGGCAACTGTACAGATACTCCTTGACTTATGACCGTAATGGAACCTGGCCATCACAATTGTAAGTTATGATGATGGTAAAGCAGGTCACACACTTGACCGATTCGATTTTATAACTTTTGTGGCAGTCGTTAAATGACCGCAGCTGTCGTGAAGTTTGATAGGGGCCAGTTTTGCTAAAAATGAAGTAAATGCCATTTTTTAGCAAAAAACATTGTTAAACAGGGTCTCATGAACCATGGGATGCTGCAGATAGCCTTAATTGCGGCTTGGCTACCAAGTGCCTGAAATGCAGTCACGTGACTGTGTGGGAAAAGGCCATTAGAATTTCAGAACACAATCTTGTGTACCCCTGGTCATAAGCCGAGGATTATCTGTACGCCATGTCCATATTGCAGCCAAAAAGAGTATATGGATGCATCTATGAAGTTGAGTGCAACTTTAAGACGACTTTTTTTTGGGGGGGACAAGATGAAAACAATGTTAAAATGACACTTGAACAGTAGTCCAGGCTGCTGCTGCTGCGATTGATTGCCCTTGTTCTCCAGAACAAGACAGAAAAGATTAAAGCTCCCTAATGTCTTGGGTTTAATTCAGTGAATGCCAGTCACCAGGATGAGGCCCTGCCGTTAAGATTTCAGCCTACGCTAAGTTTCAGAGCTCCCAAACTACAGACCACAACGTTCAGATATGCCTGTTAACTGCCACAACACAAAATTTAAGATCTCAGCTAGGTAGACTTGATCAGCTTTGGATTCTTCTAAACATTGTTGATCAAAATCTTGGAAAATGACCATATCTCCTTTCCTTGATAGAATATGCTGAGTATGGGTGATAGGGGAAAGTCTAGATCACACATAATTTATTTCTCTTTTCCTTGATGTAAAGCGACGAGAAAACGGAAAAGACCTTGGAAGGTGCAGAAGGTTCTCTTCCCTATTTAGGTGAGATCTCCAGAACATCGGTGGAAAAGATACTCCATGATATTGCTCTGATTTTTGCAAGTTGGACCCAAATGCTTAATGAAGGACAGCACACTCACCAACTTTAACCTGTTTTCTGAGCTTTAATAGCCACTCCTTGCTTCTTCTCTGCATTAGATGTTTTGCATGGATCTTCTAGATGAGGTTGATGTTCCTCTTCTTTGCCTTGTTCCCAGTTTTTTCCACACGGCTAATTACTGTCCTAAATTACTCAGACTTCATTGCCTCTGTATCCTTTCTATCCATATTTCTTCAGCATCTTCCTGTCTCCTGGAGGATGCTTCCGCCTTCTTCCAAATCACAAAAACGTCTCCTTTGCTTTAGAAGGGCCTACAGCCAAATGCTGCAAAAGGGTTTGTGGACAGCGGAAGAGAATTACAAGCCACAAAATGCACGAGCCAAAATTCCACTGAGAACATCACATATGAACTACAATTCAGCCACTCTGGACCCCTCTGAAATGCATTTCCTCTTTTCAAGATGTTTATCGTTTCCATTGCTTTTACTGTATTTCCATTGTAATGTTTTAAAATGTATGATGTATACCAGATTCCACCTCCCTCCCCGTCACAAGTTATAACTGTTAACTGAACAACTGCAATCATATAAAACTTACGTTATTTGGATTTTATTACTTGAATTGGCCTTGTTTTTTCAACAAATTCTCAAATGTATCCTGTGTCTATGAAATATGTTATCTAAAGATATTTTTAAGATGTTGCTCCAAGTTTGATAAGTCAGCAAACTCAGTCTGCCTACAGCAGTTTCCCAAACTTGGCATCTTTAAGACATGAGGACTTCAACTCCCAGAATTCCCCAGCCCCAGGAAATACAGGAAGTTGAAGTCCACGCGTGTTCAAGTTGCCAAGGCTGGGAAGCCGTGGCGTACAGCAACTTGAGCCCTGACCGTGTGAGTTACACAAATTGATGTGCTCCTTATTAGAAAAAAGATAGAGTGGACTGCAAATTCATCCCTTCTCTTGACAAGCAAACCACTAATTTGTACACAGATAAGTTTTTTGTGCTTTTTGAGAACTGATAGTTTGGCGAGAAAAAAAGAATGTAACACATCGGGTTCGTTTTAAAAATCCTGATTTTGATGTTAACTATCTACTTAGCTTTTACTTTTCAGTGGTTTTCAGATTTCCTGTTCTGTAGGATTTCTATCCGCTTCTATCCAAGGTGCTGTTTCTCTGCACCTTACAAAGGATTTAGAACAGTGGTTCTCAACCTTTTTAATGCTGCGACCCCCAACCGGTCGTAAGTCGAGGACTAAACCGGTTGTAAGTTGAGGACTAAACCGGTTGTAAGTCGAGGACTACCCAACCGGTCGTAAGTCGAGGACTTTCCCTGCCCAGGAACGCCACCCATGCGTGGTGTCGCCCCTGCGCCGGCCAAGACGTAGCTGGCAAGCGGCAGAGATGGGGCAGGCCGACCACCGGCTGGGCCACCAGCTGGCCCAGCCCAAGGGAGGTACGGCACCCGCCGGAAAAGGCGGAAAAAATGGTGGACAGCCTTGCTTGGCAACCTCTGTGAAATGGTCGACTGACCCCAAATGGGGTCCCGACCCATAGGTTGAGAACCGCTGATTTAGAATATGTTACCTGTTTACAAAAACAGTCTGATTTACTAGAGGTAAATTTTAAAAGGTGGGGGAAGATGATGAAGGGGAGAAGGGAAAAACTTAGCATTCACAGAAGCTACTCTACCATCACCAATCTTTTCATTGAAAAATTGCTGAATCTTCTAGGGAAGCCCAGACATTCTCAAAACCCAAGATGGAACATATTGCTCTAAAAACATACATATAGGCACACTTATGCATCCAAAATACCATCATGCAGCATTCATCTCTTACGTCTTAATCACTCAATTTTGGCTTTATTCAGAGCAATCACCATTGTTTCCCTTGTAACATGTTTTAGTTGAAGCAAATATTATAACTTTTATTCTTCAGAGCCCTGATTATTATATTTGATCAAAACATCAACTTTGCCCCCCCCCCCATTTGAACTTCAGGTCATCTGCAGAAGAGTTTATAAGTTCTCCTAGTAGCTCCCAGTGTTGACAACAAGTTAGGAGATTTGGACTTAAGTAGTTCCATTTTTTTTCTTGTTCTTGCCAATGACAGACAGAATTTATGCTACCAATCCAAGTCTTGTAATCTTGGCAAAAAGGAATGAATGAATGATGAATACAATCGGCTTTGGACAGGAATGAAGGTCCAGTTGCTGAAATCAGAACACAAAGAGACAAGGAGTTATTGTGTGTGCTTAATTCTGGACTGGGTCCAGAATTTGTTGCCCAAGCCACCAAATATTTTAATTGAAATATAGCACCATGAATTTCTCAGCATTGTGACTGAAGCTTTGGCAAATACAGTGATACCTTGGTACTTGACTGCTTCAAAACGCATCAAATTTGGTTCTCAACGCATTTTGATGTGAAAATGTTGTCCCAGTACTTGGTCTTTGTTTAGTACTCAGCGCACTGTTACAGGAAGAGGGGGACAGCTGTGAAGAACGGACAGGCTGGGAAGGTTGCTGCAAAAGGAGGGGATTGTCCACAGAGGGCGGACAGGAAGTTGGCCATGCTCGAAAGGTCGTTGTCATAGGAAAAGGGACAGATATAAAGTTCTCCTCAGCAGAAACAAAGGCTGACATGATATGTCACATGGTTTGTTTGGGACTCATCCTTTTTAGTATCTGTTGCACCTCCCAGAACAAATTAAAGCCAAGCACCAGGACAGCACTGTAACAGCATTTTGAGGCCACAATAGATTATTGAATAGCATAATTCAGGCATGTTACATCAGGAATGATCTTAAAAGACAGAAAGAAGAGTCACTATCAAGGCAGTTGCCAGATAAGTAAGCCTTGAGTCCTAGCCCAAGAAAATAACTTGGGAAAAAAATGTCTGAAACAAGCCCCTCCCTAGATAAAGGAGAGAGAGCACATTCAAACTTGCAAAATTCAGTTGCTATATCTGTTTCAGTAAAAGTAGTCCTGACCTTGGTACTGGATCTTAATCTGGTCTATGTGTAGGGCTGGGGCTGACATATGATTACCACTGTAATTCTACCATGACTATATTCATGGAACTATATTAAGAAATCAGAGATGAGATGTGAGGGAGAACCAAGTCTAGCATTTTATTCTGTTTGCTGATGGGGACAATGGGAAGCAGGTTGTCTATCGAAAATCCAACTGAATTGAGAGACATGAAAAGAAAGAGAATTTTACATTCAATTCTAGCTGTGAATTTAAGGAACAGGAAAGTGTATTCCTGTCTGTATGTAGGGTTTCCCTATGTGAAATGCCCCTCACTGAAAGAAATGTTCTCTTGGAAGGAGGTAGGACTGCAAAATATGATCCAAGGAGTAGATGATGCTCATCAGCCTTTTCCAAGGTCTATAGACTACCTCCAGATGAGTAGGGTTAGATTTTTTCTTTATAATTATGGAATTTTCTATGTAATGGAGAGAATTCTTTTGTTTTTTACTGCAGAGAATATCCATGGATAATAATTTTAACCATGCAGGGGATCATTCATTAATGACTAGGAATGCTGACATGAAATGTGCTTTTCCTGCTTCACAGAACAGCTAATCTGTGGAGATCGTGTTTTCTAATAATCAGATGCTACATTTCTATAGAGGTTCTCAATCATCCAGGTCGTGGTTGTCCCAAACGTCTTCAGAGAAAAACAAGAAAGTCTTGAAAAAACACCCTTGGGATCAGATGCTACAAATAATAACAATCTTCATCCCCAGCTATGTTGAAAATCAAATAATCCAGCACACTTACAATTTCACCTTCCTTTCCTCCAAAGTCCAAATAGAGCATCCGAATCCCATCATCTGAAGATGATTTTAGCTTCTCGTAGGGATACTGGAAGATGGTTTTGGGAAAGGCACCAACTTGGGGTTCAGTTGTGAGGGTAAATCCATGGTCATAATGGATGGTCAAACGGCACTCCTGGTTTTTATACGTGCAAGCTGAAGAAGGAAACAAGAACAAACAGGATTTATGGCACTTTAGAAGAATGATATTGCTAATAAAAGATTATGAGGCCACTCTGATGTTGGTAGTAGCTTGGGGATTAATAGGAATGCTAATGAGTTCCCTGCTAATTGGAAAGAAGTTCCAATGATTGTAACAATGAGGTTAATATAGCACAAAGGTTTCAGCACAGCTGACCGTGCACCATTAAAAAGTGGTAAGATCCATAGTGTAATACCAATTGCTGTCTGTGTTTAATTAAAAAGGGAGTTGGGTATCTTATAACATCCCTGAATCAGGTTTATCAACCTTTGGGAAACGACTATAGTCAAGGACAAGGAGTAAGGTGTAAACTTTCAGCGAATAAGAGAAGTTTAGCAACTGGTCTTGCTTTTCAAAATTTCTAGATGCCAAGACAGCTCTTGTGATAGCCAAGGATTTATTGATAAACATTACATTTATATCCTACCTTTCCTTGACACGGGGAGTGAGTGTTCTTGTCCTCATTTTATCCTATGTCATGTCACAGATGGATATTCAATCCATCTTATAGAACTCCCTCTGACTCTTCTTGTGGCCTTGAGCCAATAAAACTCACCTTGGTTCTCTAACCAGGCCACTACAGAGGTAGAGAAAGGGACTAAGACTAGGCCAATTGCTCTGCTCTCAATTTCTCCTCAATGTCCATTTCTTATCAGGCTGCTTGAATTGTTTTAATCTCCAGAAAAAAGCTGTTGTTGACTTTAATCTTTTCTCCTCCCTCCCTTCCTCTTCTTCTCTATATCTTTTAAAGTGCAAGTCAGACTATTGATCAAAGGATTTAAACAAAACAACAGTCCAGACTAGCATTGTTAAAAGATCTGCCATATAGTATGAGCAACAGATGTTGGATGGCATTTATTTTGCTCTTTAACAAAGCACTCCAAACTGCAAAAGAATCCTTTCAACACCATCTAGTTTACTGACAAGGTCTATCAAGATTTATCCTGCTCTGGGAGAAATTGATTGCCAAGAAGATTCTGTGCATTTGATTTACCTGTTGTGACTTCCACAGAGAGTTCAGTAGCGTTGTGGCAACCTTGAACTAGGCTCCGAGTCCATAGTGAAAGGTCTCTGCTAGTCTCGGTTTTGAAAAGATGGCTCTCAATCCCTTGTTGTGTGCCCGTTCGAGTGGCAAAGGACAAATCTATCCCAGACTGTGGAGACCCCTTCCCGGGTCCTGAATGTACCAACCTGAAAACAAATTTATTTATTTATGAGACTTATATACCGCTTTAAGTGCAAGCACTCCCTAAGTGGTGTACACCAGTAAGCAATGTATATATATATTTACATTGCCCCCAACAATCTGGGTCCTCATTTTACCTACCCCGGAAGGATGGAAGGCTGAGTCAACCTTGAGCCGGTGAGATTTGAACCGCTGACCTGCTGAACACAGTCAGCTAAAGTGGTCTGCAGTACTGCACTCTAACTGCTGCACCACCTCGGCTCTTTAAGAACACATATTGTTCAGGAAACAATCTTAGTGGGAGAAAGACAGTTTCACTGGAGATCCCATATGTGTCTACCTTTATTCTCTTGGATTTATAGGAAACTTTTCCTTGTGACTAATCAAAATCCTTTTCCTAGAATTTTAATAAAAAGAAATATTTCCTTCCTTCCTTCCTTCCTTCCTCCATCCCTTCTTTCTGTCTTTATTATTTTTATAATATATAAACTTTCAATCATAAATCATGTCTGATGGGTATTATTGTCCTATCTGGAAACAAGAAGCTAATGGGGAAAAAAGACCCCATCCCATTTTACAATTTATTATCTTGTTTACTAAGGTTTTTTTCAGAGGACCATGTCAAAGAGGCAACTAGGAAGACATATCTGTAGAAGCTTGGTAGCCAATGCAGTTCAAGCATCTTTTATGTATTCAGGGATCCAAAATATTTGCTGCACATAGGTTTAGCAGCATCAACAAAAAAACTGAGCATTTATTATAGGAGAGAAGATTATGGAGATTGAATGAAAATCTTAGATAAGAAGTTTAAGTTTAAGCATTTAGTTTAAGTATTCAAAAGAGTATTCAGTCTTAATGGTATAATGAATGTTTATATGTTTACATTTGTGTTTTAGAATAAAGAAAGAGGGAGACTAGATTTTATATTGTAGGTATAGATATTTAAAGAAAGTAATGTTTAAATTTGTGTTTTGGAGGGAGTTTATAAAGAATGATGGATAATAATATAAGTATAATATTAAAAATGTTTAGAGTATATTATAATGTGTGTTTAATGTTTGCAATTATTATCTTTTAGAGAAGATAATTTGTTTAATTTAATGTATTTAGATTTGTTTAGGATTTATATGTGTTTTAAGTTTTTTTTTTTTTTTTGAAAAAATTTAATTAAGCCTGTACTCAGCTCTGGGAAGGTTGAGGGAGGGTATGGGAGGTTTGGGGAGGTGGGGGAGGGTATGGAAGGGTGGGGGGTTTGGGGAAGGGATTTGTTTTGTAAAACTTAAAAACTTTCAATAAATTAAAAAAAAAAAAAACTGAGCATTTATTAACCTGCAGAGATAAGGTATCAGAGGCCGTTTCAAGGTAACTGAACAAAGGATGTAGAGTACAGAGAAAGAGAAGGGTTGGATGAGGGAGCTGATGAGAGCTTTCGCCCACAAAGTTCACCCAGCTGGAGAAGATTTCACCCATTCAAAGGAACCTTTCAATGGACTGCAGTGTGCATTTAAGAGCCAGCATGCTCTAGCAGGTCACAGTAGGTGGCAGTCTCTGGCCATCTTTTCCTGCTTGGCAGTCATATAGGGTCAAACCTGGTTGTTGGTACATAGTATTTATTAAGTGCATTTGATTTACACCTGCCTTTCTGTTTGGCAAATATGCCAAGCACCCAACAATATGCGAACCAAAAAGTTAAAAATTCCACGCTAACAAGGATATCAACAACATTTGTTGAGAATGAGGTATCTTTGCAGATTTCCTAAACACAAAGTAGAATAAATATATTCCATTGTCTAGGAGCAATGCATGAGAACCCCCATCCATGTGCCAGAAAGAAGGATCTGTAACTGTGGGACCTCTTCAGAATGATTGACCAAAACTACTGGTCAACTTTGTTAACAGGACAAGCAGCCCCTTTGAGACTTTAAAGTATAATGCCGCCACCTTAATTTTTGCCAGTAACCAACAACCAATCAGTACAGATCTTTCAAAACAGGCATTATGCTAAACCTGTACTTGAAAAATAGCCCAACTCTTATCTTTGGCTCCCAACATTAATTTCCAGGTTTTTTTTCCCAGGGACAGCCCAATCGGACTTGCACGATTATCACGATAGACTATCATCAAAGCATGGATAATCACTGCTAAGGGCAGCCAACTCAAAAAGAGTAAAGGTTGGTCTACTAGTCATAATGGGCAAATACATGCCACACATTTCTTCTCCTACCACTTTCCAAGAAAAAATCTTCTGTCATAGATAGTGGGGGGGGGGAACCATAGGCTGGATTGGAACGGTGGAAAAATATCTTTAAAAGAGGCAAAGGAAAACCTTTTCTGTTCTGGTGCTAAAAAAATAGGAACATTTCTACAAAGTTACCAGGAACCAAGCTAAAGCACATCATCATCATCATCTGGATTCACATCAGTCTTGATTCCTGGCAACTGCCTAGACAAGTCCCTGCAGTTTTCTTGACCACATTTTGGAAATGGTTTGTCATTGCTTTCTTCCTAGGACTGAGAGAAAGCGATTGGCCCAAAGCTAGTTTCATGCCTAAAACAAGATGTCATGGAATTGAACAGCAGCTGTCCACAAAAAGTCAGAGACACTGACACGAACTTGTAGTTTTACATAAATAAATGTATTTATTTTTTGCTGTAAATATAACATTTATATTTACAGCAAACAAGATACTCAGGAATACAGGAACATTATGAGGTATACAAAGCGTACAGAAGAAAAAAGCGGGAAAAAGGGAAACTCCCCCTTTACACCCACAGCAACCAATCACAGCATAGATTGCCTCATCTATGTGTCAGCACTCTCTAACTAATCAACTACAACTATGTGTAATAGCCTATTGTACACTTTGCTGTTCCAGCTACTAAATTTAATATTCTAACATAACACCAGAACTCAAATTTCCCTGCTCCTAGTGTAGCACCTTAACCACTAGACTAAGCTGGCTTTAACTTTAAGGAGGCATGGAAAATCTGGCTCAACCTTCTCCCTCTCAAACAACCAAATTAAGAAGACAGAACTTGTCCATTCTTGCATCTGTTCACCCACAAACCTGTGTTTTCTTGTTCCCCATTTACAAATCTTACAAAATCTTCTTTCTAACACATTCTCTCTTAAGCCTTGTGTTTCCAGACACGTCCCTACAAAATCAGCGTCTCATTAAGGTTTTGCTCCACAGCACCATAACATTCAGGCATTGATAGTTTACAAAGTGAAATTGAGAAGTCTATGCCAAGACACTTTAACTTAGAATTCTTCATAATTAAACTCCTTGGACTTTTCTGCTTTTAAAAAGATTTGGAAAATGTTTACCAAACTACAAGTTCAGATCAGAAACAGGCCGTGTGGCGTGTTGTGTCAGAGCACGTGCGAGCGACGGCACTGGTGCAATGTGCCTTGCGGCCTCCTGCCGTGAGTGGCGGCATTAAGCCATGAGCAGCCGCAAGTGCCCGCAGAAGAACTCGGGCAGTGGTGCGACAGGTGTCGGGCGGTGGGAGGCCTGGTGGTGTCAGTCCTAAGGTAAACGAGTAAGACATCCCTCCAAAATAAGACCTGATGCCTCTTTTTGAGGCAAAAAAAATAAGACTGGGTCTTATTTTCGGGGAAATACAATAGTCCTCAACTAACAATCATTTGTTTAGTGACTGTTCAAAGTTACAACAGCACTGGAAAAAGTGAATTATGACAGGTTTTCACATTTACAATCGTTGTACCATTCCCCTGGTGATCAAAATTTGGGCACTTGACAACTGGCATGTATTTATGCCAGTTGCACATGGTCGTGTGATCACTATTTGTAATCTTCCCGGCTGGTTTCCAACAAGCAAAGTCAATGGGAGAAGCCAGATTTGTTTAATGACTGCATGATTCACTTAACAATTGCAGTTGTTAAGTTGTTAAACCTTCACAACTGTGGCAAAAAAAAAAAGGATTGTAAAATGGGGCAAAACTCTCTTAACAACCGCCTTGTTTAGCAGCAAAAATTTTGGGCTCACTTGTGATCCTAAGTCAAGGATTACCTGTATCTAAAATAACTGAATGGAGAGTTTCTGATGTAACTGGTTATGAGGATACAAGCCAATGTTTCAAAGAAGAAACTGCATCTGAAGTAGATTTCCAGTCCCTCCAACTTCGACAGGTGTGTGCTTGTGGCAACTTAGTTGTTCTTTTGTACAGTAAGTAGTTGTCCTAAGATAACCTTCCTGTCTATAGAAAGAGGGAACTGGATACCACAGACATTTCACTAGCTTGTGGGGCTGTTCAGAGGTTGCAAAGTTGCTCAGGTTTCTCATGCGGTTTCCAGAACAAAACAAACACACAGTCAGGCAAAGTGTGTCTAAAAGGCCCTGGGAATCCAAGATACAGTAATAAAAACTGCAGTCCAATTAAACATGCATTAGAATTTGGGTCAGAGTTCCACTCTTTCAAGCCAATGAGTTAATTTTAAGCCCCAAATCATGTACAGAAATCATGATGGCTGAATTTTTTTTCCTGCAGCTATTAGTTTCTTACTCTTGTTTCATCAGAATGTTATGTTGGGAGGCTGGACCTTCAACAAGTTATTCATCTCCATTTGTTCTTCTCAACTATGTGAGAAATGTTTTCCCTAGTGACAGCCCAACGGTTATCACTACATGGGCCAGCTTTAGCTGGTAACACGAGAATTTCTCTCCTGCGGTGGGCAGAAGCTGATCAAATGCCTGAACCTTCCACTGATGGTCCATGATTTATTGTAGGGGTCTCCGAATTAGTCAACTAAAGAAGTGAAACATTTTCAAACAATAAACCAAGAAAGCCCAGTCGCCTTTTGGAAAAAGCACCTTTGGGATAGTTTTTGTGAGGTCCATTGTAACTTTGAAATGGCCATTAAGCAACCAGTCATAAGTTGAGGACTACCTAGATAGAAACCCGCTAATAAAATAATTTTCCTATTATGGAAACACAAGGTCTGTTATTTCTTATCTCTCTCTGTCTCTCTCCAGTTATTTTTCATCTTGTACCTTTTTAATTGTAGCCAGAGGGCAGAATCTGTTTTATTACAGATCTGCATAAGCCCCTCTGGCTAAAATGGGAGGTGAAAAACATGGGAATATATATATATATATATATATATATATATATATATATATATATATATATATATATATATATATATATATATATATATATATATATATATATATATATATATATATATATATATATATTTTTAAAATACTAAAAATGCGAATCCTGGGCATTTGCTAACAAATAAAAGAAAAAAACGAACACCAGGATATAATAAACCAGCCTGTTTAATATAAACAAGCCTGTGGTTAAGAAGAGTCACTAAACTTTCATCCGGCCAAAAAACTGCCGGCGTCATCAGAGTTAGAATAGCAGATTGACAGCCGCCCTCCAAGTGCTTGCACATGCTCTAAAAGAGCACTTGAGGATCGTAAAACAACCAGTGGAGTCAACGACAGTTTGTCTGATGCGGAACAACTTTGTGCGATACGGATTAACACAATCAACGGGCCGATGACGTGCTCAAGGAGCTGGGTGCAGAGGCAGGAGGATATGTGTGTGTGTGTGTGTGTGTGTGTGTGTGTGTGTGTGTGTGTGTGTATGTATATATACTCATGTTTTTCACCTCCCATTTATATATAGATATAGATAGATAGATAGATAGATAGATAGATAGATAGATAGATAGATAGATAGATAGATAGATAGATAGATAGGTGGGTGGGTGGGTGGGTGGGTGGGTGGGTGGGTGGGTGGATGGATGGATGGATGGATGATAGATGAGATAGATAGATAGATAGATAGATAGATAGATAGATAGATAGATAGATAGATAGATAGATAAATAGATAGATAGATAGATAGACAGACAGATAGAGATAGAGATATATAGAACATACCTGGTAGCTAAGAGAGGATAGGAATGCAGCGGAGTGAACCAAGCTTCCTTGATGCGTGGCATGCTTTCAAATATCAAGAGATCCTTCTCCGTCAAGGCAACCAACACTGCTTTCCAAGGCTTCTCATTTTCTCCCAGTACCTGGACAAAACAAAGCAAGACTTCCAATAAAGAGGCAAAAGGAAAGGATTCAGGGGGATCCTGCTTTTCCCATGCCAAAACCACAGTATCAAAACCTAAGACCAGCCCTGCTGGGTCATAGCCAGGCCCACCTTTGTTCAAACTTTGCTACCCACAGCAAGCCAACAAAACATTCCTGGCCTTGGGATAGATGCTTTTAAGCAGGAAACTGAGGCAGGGAACATTTCTCCGGCTGCTGATTTATAACCTCTGTACTTCCAGCTATCACTGAGATGATGTAAAGCTTGTCCTCATTACTGATATTTTGGCTCAGCCATGGTTGGATGACATTAGAAGATGCTATGAGTCATTGGTGTGAAATGAATACTGTATATCTTCCCTCTGGTGTTCCCTGGTATTTGGAGGGAGGCTTCCTCAATCATCAAAACATATTGAATCTTCAAGATTGAACAGGCAGGCCTATCTTTCATAAATTCATCCAATCTTTTTTTTGTAGCCTTCCTGACAGTTTCACTGTGCAAAGAAGTGCTCTCTTTTTTTGATTGTATAGGTTTTATACATGTTATCTGGTAGGTTTTCTTTTATAAGCTATTTTCCCTTCCCTGTTGACTGCCTTTGTCTGCCAATCCACCTCTGAGGATACCAAAAAGATCTAAACTTTCCTTCTCTTGAAGTGTACCTTCCCAATTCTATCCTGCCTCCTTGCTGGTCCTAAGATGAAGGATTTCTTGAGAAACTTTAGTTTGTCCCCAAACCAAGAGAGGGGACTATCTATCATACAGGCAAGTGCTAAGTCCTATAGCTTGTGACTTCTCACCATTCCTCTGGGATTCATCTTACATTTATTTCTAAAAGCACTTCATCCTCTCTTCCATCCATCCATCCCTATATGTTCTTCTCCCAAAACTTCACAATGATGCAAAAGGCATAGCACTTAAAAAAAACAACAACCCTGAAACAAAGAGATAGTTATATCTTTTTGAAGCTGCATCTTCAATACAGTCTGGAGGAAGGGAAAAAAAATCAGAACATTTCATTAGATGGCTTCCAAATGCCTTTTCAACTCTCTGGTTTTAAATGCGGCCGAATTAGCTTTCTGAAGAAGAATTTTGCAAAGGGGAGGCCATTACTAACAAAGTCCTGAGGTGTGCAGCAAGGAGAATTGAACAGGTATTCTGGAGTCCAGTTTAATGATGGGAAGCAAAGGAGCTCTCTTGGAAGAGCATGATCTCCATCTACTTATATACAGATTGCTTTGTCCAAAGTGAAAACGGACTTGTTATTTATCAAAGGAGGAAAAAAAATCAATAAGAATGGATCAATGTAATATTATTTTCATTGCCGTTGAAGCAGTGTAGCCCAACATGACATGGGTCCAGGGCAGGGGTAGGCAACCTTGGCTCTTTTATGCTCGTGGACTTCAACTCCCAGAATTCCTGATCCAGCTAGAATCAGAATTCCTGATTCCAGTCCACGAGTCATAAAAGAGACAAGGTTGCCTACCCCTGGTCCAGGGTATCTTGAGGAACTGTCTCTCCCCAATTCAAAAGCCTGCCCCACGTGCAGTGAAAAAGGCCTGCCATGCATCCCATCTGCTAAGGAAGTCCAGCAGGGGGGTTCAAGGAGAAGAGCCTTTTCTGCTGTGGCCCCATCCCTCTGGAACATTCTACTATGGCAGGTGAGAACTGCCCACCCCCTTTTGGCCTGGAAGAGTACCAAAACCCTGGCTTTGGTGTTGGCCTGAGTCCCCAAGGGGGGCACTCACTGCTAGAGGTGGCTGATGGGGGTAAGAAGACCTCATCCTGTCCCATCCATCTCTTAGCTCTTTTAGTTTTGGTTTTAGTACAGTCTTCAATCTCTATAATTTTAATGTGTTAACATGCTTTCATTATTTTTATTTGTTTTATAACTTACAAGCTGCCCAGAGTCACCTTGTAGGGGAAATGGGAGTCATAATAAATAAAATAAAATAGTAAAATAAAACAATTCAATTAAATTGACCACTTTTTAAATTTCTTATATTAAGATCACCGTTCAATGAAGATTTGGCTAAATGGATTAAAAATGAATTGTTTACCATGAGGCTGACCGGTAATTAAATGGACGTTTTTTTTTCTTTTTGCAAAACTATTCTTTATTATTAACAGAGAACAGCTATTTTAATTAGAGTCCCTGTTTAGTAAACAATTTTTTTTTCTTATTGGCAAGCTCCAACAGGTTTTAGCAGGTATTCAAGCAGGTTGGAATTTAATTGAAGTGCTTTTGGGTTTCATAAAGGGAGGCTGCTTTTCAAGGCAAAAGTAATTTTCTCCTTCCTCGTAGCCATTAACCCACTTCAAGAATGTTTTAGATATACAGAATCTGAGTGAGAAGGGGCCATAGAGGCCATTAATGGATCGCTGCCTAGCCTACGCTTGAATACATACAATGAAGATGAAGCTACTATAGGAGTCCTCACCTTGACCACAATTGAATCCAAAATTTCTGTTGCTAGGCGAGCCATCTGTTAAGTGACTTTTGCCTCATTTTATGACCTTTTTGCCACAGTTGTTAAATGAATCACTGCAGTTGTTAAGTCAGTAACACGACTGTTAAGTGAATCTGCCTTCCCTAATGATTTTGCTTGTCACAAGGTTACAAACAGTGATCCCATGGCCCCAGGACACTGCAATCGTCATAAATGTGAGTCAGTTGTCAAGCGTCTGAAGCAAAGGGAACCACAGGGCAGAAGTAAAGCATTTCAAATATATATCCAGTGGCCCAGGCCTTGCAGAGTTTCATTTGTAATCACTCAAAAGTCCATGAAAACAAGGTAATTTCCACGGCTGACACTGATTAGCACAGGCAACTGTGAACACAGGATATTGAAACTTCCCACGCAGCAGGAAATGGACTATATTATACCTTTGACCCTGATGCCACGGAAGGAGGCAATACTGGGGGAATTATTGCAAAGAGGAAAATGAAAAGAAACTAGAGGCTAGGTTTTCGTTTCTAATCTCTTCCTGATCCATCCAAATATGCTCTACAAAGCCGTCCTATTTCACTATCAGATCTGGGCATTTGCCAAGGTATACAAAATCCTCCAGAGAGCACAATACAAGCCATTGTTAGTCCCTAACAAAAACAGTGATGCGAGCGACAAAGCAGTTGGAATTGGAAGGAAGAGGGTTACACAACCTTGGCTGTAACACCCTTTCTCTGCTAAGAGTTGACTGAAAGGTTGAGGAGATGAATAGGACGACCTGCTGAAGTCCTGCCTTGCGCTGTAAACCAAGCAATGTCCTAGGAACATCATGAGGAGTCTAGTTCATGGCCATAAGTCATAGCCAAACCAAAATCTTTCCTTATTGTGACTATTCTGGCCACACTAGAAAAAGCAACTTAATCGGAAGATTGAAAAACATACAATGAGGGCAGATTGGGAACATTTTCACCCAGAGATGATGCAAAAGACTGGAGAAATTGTGTAGAAATATTAAGTTCCGCTTAGTATCTATGGCTGGCTTTTACATGTTCAACTTTTGTAGAATGCTTTTCCATGTCCCTGTGGGGTTGGTGCAAAGGCTACACCCACCCAAAGAAAAGGGGGAATGGGGAAGGATAAATAAGGTTTAAAACATTCTATCATGATTAAATCCCTTCACACAATTATCAGGGCTTGTTACAGAAAGGAATAAAGCGTTTATCCAGAATGGAATTCCTTGTCGTCAATGCTGTCATAGTTCAAAATCACATAACAACCTGACACATGAGCACCTTAACATGTTTTTACTCCTTTACTTTTGTTTCTATGGACACAAAAGGCATTGTGGTTCTTATTTTGCCATGACATGATCTGACAGGGTAGGACAGACATGTCAAAGTCAAAAGGGGCAAATCCAGCCCACGATGGGCCCAGATCCGGAGTGGGCAAGGAACCAGACCCCGGTGCCTCAGCCCACCCAGCCTGGACACCTCCCCCAGGCATGCTCATAGGAGGTGGCGAGCGGTACCCAGCAGTAACCGCAGGCTGCCAATTCCTCGATCAGTGCATCCCGGGGCTGTGCAGTCCACGCAGCACAGGTGGATCTGAGAGCTGCAGCTACTGGCCTGGCCCTCCAAGCGGCAGGTGAAGGCAGGGGTGCGGAGAAATGCACACGATCTAGCCTGCTGGATGCGCCGGGTGGCCGCCCAAGGAAGCAGGACTTGGCTGGGCCATGGGGTCCCGGCACCCCAGGACTCCAGGGCTGGGTGCCTACCCCCGCCACCCAGGCAGCCCACACTGCTATGTGTAGTCCCCCCATGCAGCCCAGGGATGGTGAGGCTCCTCTGGTGGACTAGGCCTCAGCACCCACCCAGGTCCTGCCCACTCTGCCGAAGACTCCCGAATCGCTCCTGGCCCCACTCGCCCCCTGAGACGAGTGACATTGACCCGGCCATGCTGCCCCCCCCCACAGGCAACCACAATGCTGATGCAGCCCTCAATGAAATCGAGTTTGACACACCTGGTGTAGAGGAGAATGTATTTGTCTATTCTGCTACAAAGAAAGAATTAAATGTAGAATAATATTGACTTGATTAGGGTCCTTGCCATATATTAGCCATTGGGAATTGATTTATTACACTCCTCTTGGTCTCCTTTCATGCCAATACTTATTAAGACAATTAATCAGTAAACATAATAAAGTACAATCAGATAAAATGCTTATGCTTTCCAAGAACAAAACAAAAGCATTTTGAAATGAGAATTCACTGAACAAGCTAGAGTGACTTAATTTAGACACAATGCAAAGCCAAAAGGAAGTTCCATTATGGCCAATTCTGTTGCCAAATTCCACTGATCCTGGTCCAAAAGTCAAATGAATTTTTTTTTTTTATACCAAAGAAATTATACTAAAACTGCATTTTCTCTAGCCTTATCTAAGGTGCCAGAATATTTCTTACTGATAATAAAACATGGCTTGTATATAGAATGATAGATAAATAGATTAATGAAGTTTCTTATACCTTCTGGAAAT